TTATTTTTTAAAAGATATCTTATTATAGAAAAGATTTCTTTAAAATAATGAATGCAGTTTCTTTTTTCCGGGGGTATATATATATATATTCAATGATCTTCTTTTAAATAATTTTTTTTCTATTGTTATCAGTTACATTGAAGAAGTTAAAAAGAACATATGGCAATATTGTAGCTAAAATACGTATTTTATTCGTAGAATTTTAAGATCTTGTATTTATTCGAAAGATAAAAAAAGAGACAATTTCTTCATTCACATTGATTATATTTTGACTTGTTTCTGTTTCAAGTTTTGAATCTAACAAGAGAGTCCTCCCAACTAATTATTCGCTTTTGAGTCGAGACTAAGTACATCATATGGATCTTAATGAGTTATGAGTTCACTGAAAAGAGTTCGGACCCTTAGCTTATTACTGTCAAGATAGTGCACTTTTAACAAGAGGGAAACAAACTGATTTCTATGCTAGAATTCATCCAAAATCATTATAAAGGGTTAAGGATACGAATGATAACTAAAAATGCTTAAAAATTATTGAAAACCATCCGAAGCCATTAGAAACCAATGGAAATCACTCTCAATAATAGAAAATCTCCAATGATAAGTTAAAAGTAAAGCTCTGATTTCTATTGAGTTCTCGTGATTTTCATTCACCTCTAAGCATTTTCGATGATTTTTATTAACTCGCAGTGTACAGATAAAAACTGATTTTCAGTGATAGAAATCAAGAAATCAGTTTTTTCTTCCTTCATTTTTACGACATAGTTTTAGTTAATTTCGTAGTCTCCTCAGAAACACTAGGAAAATTTATTTTCGAATTTCGACTTGAAATTTTTCATAGCAGCTAGGCTCATCGAGAATAGTTTATTGTAAAAGTCTCAGATATTTTCATTGTTTCTATCCGAAAATACAGCTATGGTGAAAGCTTGTGTTTTACACTGTTCAAATACATTGGTAGATTTGATGTTTTTATTTCAAAAAACGAGCAAATCAAAAGATGGAACATTTTTACTATTCTGGTTCATATCGATCTCTATATATAATTTTAAATCGAACTTCGAAATTCAACCCTCCTGCTGTTTCTGAAGAAGATCACTGTATTTTACTAGAAAACTGCGGACCAAATATAGTAACTTTGGCAGTAATTAAGTCATTAGTCCAAGTTCTTTCCAATGTATTCATAGTTCATTAGGGTCTATATAAAGCATATAGTTTCGACTCAAAAGGGACTAATCAATTCGGGAACTTCCTTCGTAATCTACGTTAACGACGCGTTCTTGTAGTCATAGATTTAATTATAACGATTATAACGTTTCTATATCTCAGTATGCAAACAGAATTCATTGATAAACAATATTTTAAAAAACTTGTAAATTATAAAAACAGACAGAGGATAGATAGTCATTATCGCAGTATGTTAGATGAAGTCTCAAAAACACACGAACCTATACAGTTAAAATTAGATACAATCAAAAAGAAAATATATATGTGAAAAAGATTTTAATGAAGATAATGCATTTGATGAAACTAAGAATTTAATAAGCTATTCAAATAAATATCAAATTGATTACAAAACAAATAATTTGAAATGTCAATGAGTTTAACAGTAGTAGTTTATTCTTTGAGAAAAACAAGTTGTAATTATTCTAAAAAAAAAAAAAGAAAACAAAGATTCTATCTAATATTTCATTTAATCAACACAAGGATATATGTCTAACATAATCTGGAATTTTAATAACAAAACTTAACAATTGCAAACTTTTTTGATAATGTTGAATATCTTCGATTGAGAGTAAAATGAAATCCTCAAGTACGACAGTTAGATCCATTTTGCATATTTTAATATCTTTGATTTAATTTTTGTATTGAATACAATAAATGAATAGAAAATGCTTGTGATCATTATAAGCTATTTGAAATACATTCCTCTTTACTATTATAACTCTTATCTTTTATTGGCATAATCCAATCAAACATAATTGATTATTTCTGGCAATTCAACAATGTCAACATGTCATTCTCTATTTAGAAAAAAAAAAACAACAATCAAAAATACTTTCGTCTTCAACATTTTCTTATATATGTTAATTATTGTATTCATCATCAGTTTACTTAATTCTTTTATAGAAATTAATTCATGTATATGTCTAATTGTGTAGGAGATAATCAAGATATATTCATTGATAGAAGACAAACTGCTGAGATTGTCTATATATATCTATAAATACAGGACAAAATTATTCATTTACTTCTTTATCATATTTCTAGCAAACATCATAAATATTAATTGTAAATTAAGCAAAGATGAAAATTTGCAATCAAAATCTTTTTATCATATTGGCATTAATCATTTATCTTCGATTGATTATGGTATAGAACTATATTTAAATACTTAGTTTTATATATATATATATGTTTTTCTTTTAGTCGTATCCTTCATCATATGCGAGTGAACAACGGGCCTTTCTTCGTTGTCATTTCTCTCCAATATCATGCAAACGTAGTTTGTTTGATTCTGAAAAAAATCAAAATCCACCGTCAATTATTAACAAAAATAATTTTCAAACATGTATAAGTCACAATAAACCTATTTGGTTTTGTCTTCGTGATCCATCACAATATACATTTGAAAATATACATCAAAATAATTAAATATATATTTATCATTGTTCATTGTCAACATTATTGATTTTTTTCTTATTTGTTGATGTAAAACATGGCCAAAGGAACATACTTATACCTGAAAGAATTATAATAAATCCTGATGTAAGAAAAGAAAGCTTATATGTATGACTAAGATCACGTAATAAACCTAAAATCAATGAAAAAATTTTTAAATTAATTTTCTTCAATAAAAAGTATATATGTATACCTTGAAGTGGAATACCAATAAGTGTACTTACACCTTGACAAAATTGTAATATACCAAAAGCATTTGGCATATTATCCATTGATAAAGCATCAATAACAATAAGTACTTGTAATGCATAATTAGCACTAATTGCTAAACCATATATAAATGCACAAATAAGAACAATTAATTTATAACGAAATAAAGCAAGAATAATTAATGATACACCAGATATAATAACTGCAAGTGTATACATAAGCCAAGCAGAAAAAATTTTTCGATCATGTAAATAACCAAGTAAAATTTGTCCAAGAGCTGATGCAATACCAACATTAGATAAAGTCCATGATGCTAAATAACCTTGATCAAGATATGTTTCAGAAATATATGTTGGAATAATAACATATGGTACACCCATAACAAGACATAAAGTAAAATTTGATAAACAAAAGAGAAGAAAACGACTATTGAGTATCCAATGTTTTTCTTCAAGGGTTTCTTCTATTATGTCTGTTTGTTCTGGTGGTGGTACTTGTGATGATGATAATTTCTCTTTTTCTTCACTATTTTCGTTTGTCGAAATGATGGGTGCAAATGGAAATTGTTGCAAAGGTTGATGAATTCGTTCCGAAGATCTGTCAAGTTTTTGCGTTATTTGAAGTGGAACAGCAATGGTATTGGCACGATCTCTGTTAAAATTTTTCATGGGAACAACATGAACTGAAGGAGATCCTGTACTAATAGTAGGAAACCGTGGTCGAAGATAAAGTGAATGTCGACGAACACTACTAGATGGTTCAATAGAAGGCATAGTGATACCAGAACGAACGGGAACAGAAGAAATTAAAAGTGGTAGAACTTGAGCAATGGTCATACCACGAGAGCGACGAGTATGTGATGGTTCTGTTGATGTTTCTTCTTCTCGTGAACATTCATCATGGACTGTGACAGTTATAGTCGGAACAGTTGAAAAGTCCATAAGCTCTGTAGCTGTAGGAGGAAGTACTGAAGCAGGAGAAGAATTAGAAGCAGGTTCTCTGAATGCAACGATTGATATGAGCATAAAGAGAAAGAGACCGCCTAAAAAAGAAAGTAGATGTTTTATAAGATGAATCTAAAAAATTATATTAAATAAAGATATGCCTGTGAAATATCATAGTTTTTTGTTTGAAACTTTTCATTAATTAATTAATCCTTCGTTGATATTCATACTTTAGAAGTTTATTGCTGTCTCGTGATGTACCTGGATCCAACCATAGAAAATTACAAAAAAAAATCGATATTTTTTGCTTTATTTAAACTATTCATTTATCTACTGTTGACTTCTAAATACTCTATTTATGAAGATTTGTGTGTCAATTTTTATAGACACAACATAAAGACATAAAATATCAAAAATAAGATTGTCTGGAACTGTTTGTATAACAGTATTGAAGCATAAATGAAACAAAAATGACAGATCCAGTCACTTCAGTGTAGAATGATAGAAATACGCTAATATATTCACACAGTAGTGAACAAAAGTCTCCATCCTAGTCAATCTTAGTCACTATATGTGCTGGAAGTCTAAAAATTTGTGTACATACATTTCATCAAGAATGCAGATCAGTCGAATTGTGATGTTGTTATTGCTTAATTACAAAGAGAGTCATGATGAATGGCACTTATTTTTGTTGTCAGACTCATAACTTTGAAAAGAAAGAGTATTCTGTATCACCCGACTCTTTGCTATATATACTATGTCACAGATATTTACGTTACTAATTTCATTGAAGTTCATCAATCTTTTCAAAGTAAACTCTGTTTGAGAAGTTTTCTCTACAGTTAGGTACTATTACCTACAAGTTCCAAAAGTGAATTTTATACTAATGGGATATGAAGCATAGATGATAATATGGTTAGTTCTAAGGATCCAGAAACATCAATATTCGAGCGAATGAACTTATCTTTTGGGTGAAGAAAGACCATAGACAGGACTTCAGTGATATGTATATATATCGAGAATTAGATATATTTTGAGTAAGAACAGAGTCTTTTCTTTACATGTTTGGGCAGTTACCATTTGTTAGTTTCTCTTACATTTTTACAAACGCTTTAACAAATTCACATGATTGGAACACACTGACAAAAACGATGTAATATGGTTTTGATTAAAAAAGAACCAATCACAAACTTCGCACTATATAAAAAGAATATGTATTATTACTATTCATGATCAACGTATATATCATAAAGAATCTATTTGGAAAACAATTAGAAAAACAACAGATGGCAGCTTTAGTAAGACGAAAAATGATGCCTATAACACCATTGGTGTTCTAGCATCCATGTGGACTCACAGTTGTATTTTTTTTTCTTGTTAGATCTATTCTTGATATCTTGTAAGTATATTATGCACCTACTAAAGATTAGAGATTACAGAAGAAGAATGAATGAAAAGAACAAATGTTAATGTAATAATAGACTAATATTGTGTAAAGTGAGTCTAGTTAGATCCTACGACAGGAACCAACGAAGGTTTATTTAATATTTTCGAATGACAAAGAGAATTATAAATTTTATCTATTTAAAAGATATTTAAAATTAATATAAGCTGAATAAGAGATAAAGATTATGTTTAAAAATAGAATATTTAAAAAAAAAACAAATCGATTGACATTTTAATCGATTCTAATGATACAATGTAATACAAAATAAATGACATTTTTTGACAATAGTAATAATAACTCTTATTATGATAAAGATTTTTTTTTCCTACCTGTAATCAGTGATGCACCACGCCATTCATATTCAATAATACATGCTTTAACAATAATTGCTAATGCTACTTGACCAACTCCACTTCCTGATACAGCTAATCCAGTCGCCAAACCTCGATCATCTTCAAAATAAAATGGTAAAGTTAAATAAGCAGGTACATAACAAAATGCAAGTCCAACACTTAATAAACATCCATAACCAATAGCTGATATCCATAATGTTTTATAAAATTGTAAAACAAATGGAAGACAATATCCACTAGCTGAAATAATACAACCAATAAATAATGTCATACTAGCACCAAATTTTGTTGTCAACCAACATACAAGTGGACTTAAAAGAAGAGGTATTGATTGTGTCAATGCAGCTAAAATACTAATAATTAAAACAGTATTTGTTTTTAGTTTAGAATATTCATTGATAAGTTCATCAACATAAAGTCCAAATGAAAATGTTGTACCATCAGCAAGAACATAAACAAGAAAAGCAGCAAAAACAATAAATATTTGTTTTGATGACCATGTTCGTAAACGATGAACAAGATTCGATGACATTGTTATATATAAAGAAGAATGAAAAAATTTCTTTTAATGTCGAATAGGCAAACAGAAGTAGAAATTTAAGATAAATCTTGAGTCAATAGAAAAATGATAAAATGAGCGAAAGAAAGAAAAAAAAACCAGTGGCTTAGTTAATAACAATGCGTAAAAGGTTATGCGTGTCTGCCTTCATTTCAAATCAACAAATTGTTTTTTTATTTTTATTTTTTTGTTTTATTTTATTTATCATCAGAAAATTTCAAATGTTTCTCATGCTCTCTCTCGCATGCACACTATTTCGATTGATAATGAAGTAAACCAGCAACAGCTGATTGAAAACCTGCATTATAATCTGTAGCAACTTCATTTTTAATATAATCATCACGACGATCTTCATAATTATCATTTTGATCAGGTCCACCAACTAAAGCACCAATTAATAATTGAGGATTAGCTTGAGGACTATTATAAGCATTCCAATCACATACTGCTGGTCGAGATGGACATGAACTAGAGAAATAAAAGTAAACATTTATTTATGATGAAAATAAAAATTTTTTTTTTTTTCAATTACCTTGATCGATGATGAGGTCGTTGAGGATAATTTTGACCAAAACCAATAACATATGATCGACCTGAATCACCTAACATATAATTGATTTGTCGAGAAGCAAAATCTAAATATTCTTGAGTATTAATACCAACATCAGCAGCCTATAAAAAAGACAGAAAAAAAATAACGTAGTTTATTTATCTTTTGAAATGATCCATATCATACTTGTAAACAAATAAAAGCTGCATTTCCAGCATGTCGAAGTGCTCCCCATTGACTAAGAAATACAAGACCTTTCGGTGTTTTTGGAGCTTGTCGTACAATATAATTACAAAATGATTCAGCTTGTTGACGATACTTAGCTTGTTGTGTAATTTTAGCCATAAGTACTTGAACACCTGCTGTTTTATCATCCCAACTAAATTCATTTGATCGTTTATCTAGACCAAATTCTTGAAAATGTTTCTCAACATCTATTTGATAACGTTGTTCACCAGTTGCACGTAAAAGCCAGGCAGCAGCCCATGCTAACTCATCACCATAACCAGACCATGATCTATAGAAATCAGCTGCATTTGTAATTGAATCTGAATATTTGCCACGATTTTCATTAGCAAAATCATACAATTGCCGAGCATGTGTTAATAATATTGATTGATATTCTGGATCAACCGAACGAAAAACAATTGAAGTAGCAGCAAGAGCAGCAGCTGTTTCACCTACTAAATCAGAACCAGGTTTTTGTACAGTTACTTTCCATGCAGGTCGAGGGTTTGTCCAATCTTCTGGTCGTGACCATGATGCATGATCTGCATGTCCATCACCCACTTGTCCGTAAAATTCACGTTCGCTGACATGTGCCTAATTACACAACAAAAAAAAACCAATACTATATATTGTTGTAGTGTCATATTTCATTTTCAAATGGAATGTATTACAGACATCAATCAATTAAATCGTATTGATTGATTCAAAAAAAAAAAGTAATTATTTTTGATGTTTTTATTCTTAATCAAATACAATATGATACTTTGAAATTCATGCAAATAAATACACTGGTGGAGATTTTTTTTTGAAAGATTTGTTCTAATAGAAAACATATGATGAAACTAACCTTAATAAAATAATCAGTTGACCAACGAAGTGCTTGAAGAACTTGATCGAATTCATCTGATTTAACATAAGCATCTTTATAATCAATAACACCCCATGCTAATAATGTTGTAAATGCAGCCATGGGAAAACCAAATTTAACAAAATCACCAGCATCAAAATAACCACCAGTTAAATCTTCTCCATTTTCTCCTTTATCCATTAACATGGAATCACTTCGCCAACTAATACGATTATTAGTTGGAAGTTTACCAGCTCGTTGAGCTTCATAAAAAAGAAGTGAAGCATGAAGAACAGCTCCATAATTATATTTGTCATTTACTATTGATATAATTGAAGTTGTTGATAAATCTTCTGGTTGAAATGTTGGTGTACTTCCTGTTGGATTTATGGTTGATAAATTTTCTGTTTCAAATGTTGGTGTACTTCCTGTTGGATTTATTGTTGATAAATTTTCTGTTTCAAATGTTGGTGTACTTCCTGTTGGATTTATTGTTGATCCAGGTAGAATAACAATATCGGAATCAATATTGACTGATTGTCCATTGAATAAAACAGTTATGATACTACTTGGTACACCATCACCATTAACAACGAATTCAAAATGAAATACTGAACCACTTGCTAATTGTGCATTCCATTCTTTATTACCATATTTAAAGATTTGATCTTCGAATTTTGATCGAAGATCACCTAACCACGCCTAAAATCAATATAAAAAAAAAAGAAAGAAACAGAAGGATTTCTTTTGTACATACATCAATGGTTACCGATCGATCAAATTGAATTTCGAGCTCCCATCCGTTATTGATTTGATTTACAATTGGAATTTCTATGGCTCCTTGAAACCCTCCTGGCCATTCTTTATCTACTCTCAATCTAGCTTGAATTAAACCAATTGCAAGTATAAGTAAGACAACCGTGTACTTCAACTTAAATAATGTCGGATGAAAATAAAATCTTTTTAAAACATTCGAAAACTTACCAGTATCATCTGCATATTACTAATGATGTTGCCAACAATTGCTGATATATATATATATACATCATTCTTAATCCTTTATAATTACTTTTTTTAGTCTATAAGACAAATATCATAGTCCATTTAATATTTTTTCTTAAAATGCAAAAAGTACAAAATGTGAGCAATTTTTTTTTTTTCGTTTTTTTATGTATAGATAGAGCTCGACGAGCTGAGTAAGAAAATATATTTTATTACTTTTTTTAAAAAGCCTTTTAATAAAAAAAAAGCGAGTTTTTTCGATAGTCCTGAATGGTCTATTTTTTCTAAAAGTACGTTATTCATATTAGAAAACTGATACATTTTTTTTTATTAGAAAAAAATTTTCATTTTCATACGGATTATAATACTGATATGTTTAGATTCGTTATGAAAAACTGAGTCTGTAAAACTAATTTTAAAATTAGTTTCACAGACTCAGTTTTTGATGACGAATCTAAACATATCACTTTTTCAATATGAAAAACGTAATTTTAGAAAAAATGGATCATTCAGGACTATCAAAAACAAAAAACGATTTTTGTTTTTTTATCATAAGACTTTAAAAAAGTAATAAAATACATATTCTAACTCAGCTCGTCGAGCTCTATGTAACCATGTATAAAAAAAAACAAAACGAAAAAAACAATTTGCTCGTATTTTGCATTTTTTACACCTTGTACATATAATACTACGTTAGTCTTTAATGTCCTTCTTTTTTTCGATTTGCTCAGTTTTTTTTAAATTTAATTATATGAAATAATAGCGAAAAGAATGTTTTTATAAGCATAGATTGTATTGATTGAATATAGAGAAGTGAAATAAAAATAAAATATATAAAAGCACTTGTATGAATTTGTTCTCTATTCCAAAAAAATACAAGAGTGAAAAGATTGGCATTAAAAGTAAAATAGAATGGAACATGAATTACGAGAATTTTCAACATCACCATTAACTTCATCAATTACAACTGATGAAATTAACAAAAGTTCTCGCATGGCTCGTTATGAAGTATGTCAAGAAAAACAAAATCGTATAATATTGAGTCTATTTTGATTATCTAATAGCGACCACCAACAGGAGTGGCATCGTCCAATCGCCAATCATCAACAACAGCGGCATCAGTTAATCGTCGACACACAGAAGTAGATCGACGTCTATTGTTGGAAAAAGATATGTCTGATGCACATGAGAAAGGTTTTTGGGTATGTCGTTTATGGCAATTATTACTAACATTAAATATTACTATTATTCTAATAACAATTGTACTTATGCTCTTACTTATTTTCATCATTGGACCTCTTTGTAAGTTGAAATCAATTGAAAAAAATAAATTTGATATATAGAAAAAGAAAAGCTTGAGTTATTTAGCTCCTTATCAAACTTATGGTCAATCATGTAAAATGTTATCATGTAATGCTGCTCATGGACTTGTTTGTAACACAAAATCTATTTGTTTATGTCCATCAAATGATTCTTATTGGTCATATAATGAAACAGGCTGTCGTATGTTGAATGTTAGTATTCAAAATTGAGAAAAAAAAAGATTATTCTTATTTTAGGTCGTTGTCCAAATGGATGGTCTACTATAAATGGAAAATGTCTTTTCATATCAACATTTAATTTAAATTGGACAGATGCAATTGCTTATTGTAAATCATTTACTGCTCAATTATTAACATTATCAACAACAAAAATATATTCAAGTTTAACATTATCTCAAATAAAAAATTTAGTTTCATCAAATACCACTTATTTTATTGGATTATCAGAACAACCAAATGATTCTGGTATATTCTTTTTTCCTATTTAATTATAAGTATTATTCTTTGCTACTAGAGAGTTTTTTCTATGAAATAAAACTGTTCCGAAAATTATATGATTATTTATATTCAAGTTTGAGCATGATCGCAATTGCGAAATGAAGTAGTTGAGTGTTTGTTTTAATTATTTTCACTATCCATATAATATATGTGAAACTAGAGAGTCTCGTGTTTAGAGTTTGTGGGATCCAAAATTTTTGGACCTCGAGTCGATCGAATCTGAGACCAGCCTGTCGAGCTCTACTCTTCTTCTTCTTCTTCTCTATCTGCTGCACTTTTTTTTCAGGCAATTGGCAGTGGGTAGATGGTAGTTCAATATCTTCATCATCAATGAATTTGTTTTGTACAAATGGTTCCGTGGCTCGATTTGATACTATTTTTCGTGTTAATATGAATTGTGGAATCTATCGTATGGATTCATGCTTAGCTCGTTATACATGTCAAAGAGCTGATATTAATTTTATTTGTGAAAAAAGTAAGCTATTCACTTCTAATTATTATTTTTTCTAAAATATATTTTTTTTCTTTTATTTATTTGTAGTTTAATAAATGTTTGCTGTCTTTTTCAATAATTTAAAATAAATAAAAAAATTACTCAGTAGAAGTAATTGATTTTTATTGTGATTTTCTTTTAGATGAGTTCTGAGTTACCTGATATAACAAAATTTCTTCGTGATGAAACAAAAAATAAACTTGTTATTTATGAAGTAAGTCTTGGTTTTTTTTTTCATTTTGAATTGAATATCTTTATATTTTATATGAACAGTTAGAATACAATAAAATTGATGATCCGAATGAAAAATTTCGTACTAAAGCTAAATCTCAAGGACAATGTGCATGTCGATTATGGTTAATTTTATTTTTAGTAAATTTTGCCATAATAACTATCTTTATGTTTTTACTTCTTTTAATCTTAATTGAAATTGGACCTGTGGGTAAGTGTATTGATAAATATAGTTGTGTCACGTATTCAGAAAATCATAAATGTTTTTTATCTAATAAAAACAACTCACACGAAAATCTTGGATGTTCTCTTCCAATTTCAACAGTAGAGATTCTACATAGTATTATAGTAAAAGCCCTACAAAGAATTTGAGTTTCTACTGAGCCTTAGCGAAGCTATTGACTTTTTAATATGTCTATTTACCAGAGATCATTGTAAGGCCGCAGGTATTTTGACAAATTATGTCTTTGAATTTCTTTTTTTTGACACTATTTCTTAAGAGTTTCCCAGTTTATAAACTTCATATCTCAGAGCTATGAGCTGTGCAAAAATAGATGCTTTTCGAAGCCCAGTAAATAGTACAAGAATATTTTGAAAAGTTCATATCTCAAAAATACGAAGTCTACAAACTCTGAAACTCTTCATACAAGCTATTGTATATGAGATCTTCAAATGGAAAGAATGTCAAGAAAAAATTTACATCAAGTCTCAATAGAAACTTAAATTCTTTTTTCAAGTTTTCACTAGAATACTACGTGGTATCGATACGCAAAACAAAAAACGTCGAAATCGGAAGAAGTCATCTGAGATGGTTTCCTTATAAATAAATGAATAGATCTTATTTGTCAAATCGAGATTATTACTTGCGACTTTACATTCTCTGAAATATGTGACACTATTAAAATAAGCAAAAAAGATTTTTTATTTTGTAATACCCATAGTTTAATTCTAGCTCCATATCAAACTTATGGTAAACAATGTGTTAGTGGTAAATGTGATTCATCGAAAGGATTAGTATGTACAGGTATAAATAAATCCAAAACATGTCAATGTCCATCGGGTAATTGGTTTTGGTATGATAATACAAAATGTCGTATGTTAATTTTCAAAACAAAAAATTCAAGTCTTTTTCTTTTTTTTTTCTTTTATTTCTAAATTAATAAGGTGAATGTCCACCTAATTGGATTGTTAGTAATAATGGTACTGGTTGTTATTTTGTATCAGATACAGAATTAACTTTTATTGATGCTAATCAATGGTGTATAACGAGTCAAAGTCGACCTATTGAAATCTCAAATGAAAATATATTTGTTACATTACAATCTATAAAAGATTTTAATTTTAATTTAACTAAAACTTATTGGATTGGTTTACGTGAAATTGGTCCCAATACAAGTTTATTGTTTTTTTTTGTTTCTCAAATCAAATTTTTATATTGTTTTATTTTTAGATATTTATCGTTGGATTACATCACTATCAACATTTTCTAAGTCGAATTATTTTTGTTCCGGTCAACCAGCTCATACATATAATTATTATTTTCAAGAATATGATCAATGTATTGGTTTATATATTCAATCAAATACTTCATCATGTTTACGTGATTCAACATGTTCAAATGTATCACCATTTATATGTGAATTATGTAAGTTTTGTATGCATTTTATAATTATATTTTGTTTGTTTTCTTTTTATAGACTAAAATCAACACGATCTGCTCTTTTTTCTTGCTTCATACATAAAGAAAATAATAAAAAGTGGCAAAAAACCTAGATGGAAAGCTTCGAGGGTCGATTATCGAACAAAAACCGGTATCACACAAAGAACGAATCACTTTACGATCAAAAGATATTCACATTTCACTGGAATCAAGTTTTGTTCTAACGCTGTAAATTTTAATAAAATGAAACATGTGATTGAAGATGAGAAAATTGATGCTATTGATCTAATCATGCAGCTTTATCCTCATGTTTGAACGAGTATTTTCTGATTTCCCATTCTCGAGACCATAATGAGAGAAAATACGAATTTCTTATACGTACATCGAGCAAAAAGAGAAAGAAAAAAAATTGTGTGCTTCCTATAGAATTCGAAAGAACTTTAATTAATACCGATAGTAGCGCAGAATTTAATGAACATATCTTACTTTTTTTAATTTTTACTCATGACGAAGTATTCCCAAATGATACGCACCGTTCGAGCTTATGTTTTGTTGGTGGCTAGAGTTGATAATGCATATAAAACAACTAAAACGATTTGTGCTATTGCTGTTTGGTTTCAACGTTACGAGCAAAACACGTGTCATAATCGATAGTGCCACTCTCTGTACGTTATTGTGTTTTTGTTCTTTTCATATCTTAACTAGGATGTACCCTTTTTAGTTGAACATTTTATTACTAGGTTATCTCATTTATGACTATTCACTCTAAAATTCTCAGTTGAATCTGATTTTTTGTTCGGAAGATAGAATATTTCTTTTCTCTCTTTTTTGAATAATGCCTTTTGTTTGTTTTACCAATGAATCCTCACAAGATTTCTTTGTTTTTCTGTGCTTTCGTATAGGCGAAAAAAATTAAAATGAAAAAACTATTTATAGCATTTTTTTATTAAACAAATAAATGAAAAAGCATACAAGAAAAACAATCAAAATGAAATGAACGTTCGAAGAAAGATACTGATCAAAGTCGAGTGATAATGATAATTTATAACAGAATAACCATCAGATAAACTTCTCTTTCTCATCCCCAGAACGCAAAGTCAGACTCAGCTGAGAGTTTTAGGATGAATAGTCATAAATGAGATAAGCTGGTAATAATATGCTCAACTAAAAAAAGTATGTCTCATAGGTGGCAACACCATCTATCATGACACATGTTTCGCTCATAACTCTAAAACCAAGCAGCAATGGTACCAATCCTTTCAGTTACTTTATATACATCATCAATCCTAGCCACTTATAAAACATGACCTCGAATAGTGCGTATCAGTTGGGAATATTACCTTGTAAGAACTACTTCAAATATGATTTTCAACAACAAAACTATTTGTTAATGATCATTTAAACATGAATTAATAGAATAAGATTTTTTTATTCAGATGAAAAGATTGTCGATTTAGTTAGCTGTTAACTCACACAAGAATAGAAAGAGAATTTTTATTTCCTTCTCTATAAGTTATTATATATAAAGGGTTCATATAAACATCCCTTCTCATCAACAACATCCACAGGATCGAAACAGTATTATGCTCTTCATTTTTTCTGTTTTACTATTATAGTTATCCTAGATTGATCAAGACAAATACATATGAATTTCTTTTAAACTTCATAGCAATATATTTGATTAAGGGATATTAATCAACAAAAGTGATAACGAATCATAATAATATAACATTGAATATTTGTAATCTGGTAAGTTTGGTTCATTTCTCGGTGCTTTCATGGAGTCTGACGACTTCTACAATGTTTTAGACTCAATGAAATCCTTCAAAAATATGTTGGACAGGCATAATTTTTTCTATAGATTAAATCTTATGTACATCGTATCAAAAGTATCTTCGCAATTCAAATATTATCGATCGATGAACAAACCAACTGCAATAAAAATAATTTTGTACTTCTAATTGTTAGTAGCTCTTCTGTTTATGAAATTATGCTTTTTTTCTAAACTTTCTTTTTTCAAGAGTTCAGAATTAGAGAAAGACAATAGTCAATGAGGCCTTACTTTAATATGATGTTTTCAGTACTCTGCTTGTTCAATTATATTTGTTGGGTATTATACAGTCGAATTCTACTAATAAATATCATGCATTTAATACTCGAAATTCATGACTATTTTCGTCTATCTCGTTTTTTGAAACTGCTCAACTATATTTTACGCCGTTGAATTGAGTGACTACAGTAATTCATGTCATTGGTGATGACATTGTATTGATTGTTTATTGTAGACAAGTCAATGAAAAAATAAATATAGTAAAACCTCTATATGTGAACACGCCTCCTTAATGATCCCCCTGTTATTATGAACGCTTCTAGCCGGTCTCAAAAATCGATTTTTGCTGGAAATAGACCTCTCCTTTATGAACACCTCCTTATTATGAACGCTTTTTACTGGTCCCGAAGGTGTTCAGATTAGAGAGGTTTTACTATAAATGCATCGTCAAAAATCAAAGTAAAATAAATTGTTGCATCAACAGTGGTGATGATAACTCGTGTATGGGGATGAGCGTCTCTAACTACTAGAGATGAGCATGGGACTTATTGGATCCGGCTGAAGAATCAAATAAATTTTATACAAAGAGAAATCAAAAAAGAAACACTCAACTATTCTGTTTTTCAGAGAGATCTCTTCCCTTCCAAGCAAGATTCGTGTGACTTCTGTATGTTTTTTTTGTAGTCTGAGAAAACAAATGCAAACTTTGCGACCGGAACCAGTCTCGTTGTAATCACGCTCGAACGTGGACACCAATGATCATAGTTTTCGGAACAATCTTATTTTATGGAGGAAATATTTGTTTTCAAAATGTGGCAACTGAATTTTTTTGTCATTTTTTCTTTTCCTGAAAAATATTCGATTCTACAGCTGGCACCACAAAGTTCTATGCACAAATCTACTAACGATATCTTACATCTATAGAACACTTACTAGATAGCTGATATCATTTTTTTTTTGTTTTTCAAGATAACTAATGCTTCTTATTGTTGAAAAAGGAATATCCTCACAAGATAAAACAATACAGAAGAAGAATGAGAAAATTATGACAGTTAATCAGCTGTATAATCTTTTTGTAGATAAAGAATAACATTTTCACTGAAACTTTGTGCAAATATAGGGGTACCTAGTTATACATAAAAAGAAATTTCAGCCTTGTATCTCGTTTTTAGTGGAAGTTGGAGCAAGTTTTTGTATATTGATAAAACCTATTTTTGTTGTCTATCGCATGTCGGATAGCATCCAGCTAACTCGATCGGAAAAGTTTGTTCCTTTTTCTTTACTTTAAAAATGACAGTCGGGTCCAATAACTCTGGTGACCCTATTTTTTTTTATTTTCTTCTATCGTTAATCTTGAAACATACATTAAGTCAAAAATTCTCAATAAAGCTGAGAAATTTTATGGAAAAAGCTTTTGTTTGGAAGACAAAAAAAAATTTGATTTTATGTCTTACTGAGATAGAATACTACTGGCGACACATCATTGAACAACAGCTATAACAAGAGTGGACGTTGTTTAGACGAAAAAATTGTCTTTTTATGTCAAAAACCTCGTTGTTAAGAGGAACATGGCTCAAAGTCATAATAATTATACAAGAACACATCGGAATATCTGACTATCCCTTTTCGCAAAAAGTGATTTTTAGATAATGCTCGAATTTTTTCAGGAGTCTTAATCACTTCAACAGCTTTCACCTATCAGGAAAACGTTTTCGATTTTGGTTCCGGCACAGTTCTCGAATCGAATTTTTTTTGAACCACAAGCTCTAGTGTATTATTTGCTTGTCTTTCGATTCACTGTTATTAGACATTCTTATAATACTAAATATATTTGTATATTTCTGAAGAACCTCGGAATAATAAAATATCTCGAAAAATATTTTCATATAATTGTAAATTCTATTCATGTTATAGACGCGATCATGTCTAATTTTGATTTGTATTTCTTCAGAAAATATTTACCATAATATGAAGTTTAGCAATGAGATTAGAAAAAAAGATCGGTGTTTTTGAATATATATGGTAATACTAAAAAATTGGCATTTATTATAGTTCAGTTATTCTGTAAGTATTATAATGAACTACTTTGAATGCAAAATTAAAGATAGAAGTACTTAGACAATCGAAAAAATTCTGAAAGATCCATAATTTTTAGTTGTGTTACTTGATAACCTGAAGTATATGATTTAAAAGTTTGTTTTTAAATCTTCTAATACCAATGCTGATGAAAAAATGTTTTTGAAAACACAAATTTTTTATTTTAGACGATAGAAAAAAGTAGTTAATATCGCCATTTAATCAAGGATACACAATATACATCAAATAGAAATTAATAAAAGTTTTTTTTTTTTTATTTGTATTAATCACTAGTTTGTTCTTCTTCTTCTTCTTCTTCTTCTTCCTCTGCATTTTCTTCATCTGGATGTTGTTGCTCGTCATGTTCCTCTTCTTCTTCTTCTTCTTCTTCTTGTTCTGGTTCTTGTTCGTGTTCTTGATCTTGATCTTCTTCTTCGTCATGTTCAGCTATTTCATCTTCAGTTTCTTCTCCTAAATATAATCAAATTGAAAATTAAATTTAATTGAAAAAAGAAAATAAAATTATTTACCATTAACAGTTTCCGATTCTTCTTCATTCTCCAAGGCTTTCAATCGTTTTCTCTAGAAAAATGAAATATAAAAAACAAAAACAATTTGTTGTATTTTTTTTTTCTTTTGAATTCAACCTGAATTTTTTCTTCTGCTTCAAGAAATGGTCGATAACGTTGAATAAGTCGAAGATTAGCTGGTTTTGAACCACCACCAGCAGCTCGTCGTTTACTTAATCGTACTCTTAAATAAATAAAGAAAAACATATCTTTTTTTTTTATTTAAAAATTTCTTTTTTTTTTTCATTTACCTTGTTTCAAGTTCATTATAAACAATAGAATCATCTTTAACACTTAAAAAATAATTTTCTTCAAAACCACTCATGGTTTTATCTTTTCGATTCCAATTATATTCACGTATTAATTTAAAATCATATGATTCATCTGTATCATCTTGTTCGTCTCTTGCACGTTTTGCTCGTGTTTCAGCTGTTGGTAGAAAATAACCAATATATTCTTTATTGTCAGCATCAATTAAGGCTCTATAAAACAAAAAAATTTAAAAATAAAAAGAACAAAGTAATTTTCTTTTTTTTTTTACTTAATAACTGCTTCGGACATTTCTTCCATTTGTTCTTGACCTGTTACTGTAGGATCCTTACGTGATGGATCATCATCAAATATAACTTGTGCAAATGGACATTTCCAATTCTATAAATAAATAATTTTTCATTATTTCGTTTATAATATAAATCATACATCAAAATCAGGAAATAATGGCCATTCTTCAACTTTAACTACTGATGGTTTACTATAATGTTTTTCAAGCTAAAAATATAGAAAAATGAAATATAGAAAAATAATCATTAAATATACTTACAGAAACTTTGGCAGTTTCAAATCCTTCTTCAATCATTTGTAATAGACGATCTTTTGTTAAATATTTAAGTGATTCTTCACGAAGTTTTTCTTTAGCAGAACTTGATCTTAATATAGAAAAGATATGTAGATTAATGATGAAGATATTGAAATAGAAAAATCATTCGATTATTATAAAATTCTGATTGATTTTTAATATTCAAACAGGATTTTAATATCTTTCTATATGCTCATTTCTTTATGTAAGTAATAAATCTTCACAAAATAAAAAGTTACAGAAAAATTGTAACGAAAGTTTCATGAGAGAGGAATTAACAATACTATTGAAAGTTTTAATTAAATGAAATCTGTCTTTCCAAGATTTTCAAGTATCGAGAGCTTTCTCATTCAACTTCTTTTCTTTTTTTAATTTGTTGTGCACTGAAACAAAAATAGATTCGGTAAAAAAAAAACTTCTGACAATTGAAACCAATTCAAAATCCTGTTTCAATTTCGTACGACGTTCAATATAATACTACTCAACCGAAATATATCCTCTTAACACCTATATCTGTCTCTAGAGTAATCTAGTAAAAAATTCCAAGTCAATTCATTGATATGGTTAATTTTTATTGAGGATACAATTGTAGATTGTCGTTTCCCATACTTCCAAAGTTATCAGAGCACTTATTTTTGCTAACTATATCTAGTCTGTTATAAGCTGAACAATGGACATTTTTTTTTCATAGGACGTTTAACCAACTTGATTATTCAATATAGCATTAGGAAGAGTATTACAAATCGCATGAGATAGTCTATTTTATATTGATAATTAATGTTGAAAAACAGTATTCATCGTTTCTTATGTATAGAACAATCACAGATAGATCTTCTTGTACAGTTTCATTCACTCATTGAAGGAGGTATAAAAAATTGTTTCAACAATGTGGGTTCGTAGGAAATTTTTATTCGTACAAAATTCTTATATTTGAAATCAAAATCAATTGTATTACTTAAGTTGTATATCTCTGTTACGTTATAAATAGTAGAAGTAAAAAGCTCATCATAGTCTCATCAACAGTCAAATGTAAAGATCCCGTTGAATCTATAGTTAATTCTTACGCATCATGTCAATGTAGACAAAGGATGAAACTTAGTACAACGCACTATGTTAATTTTCATTGAATATATCTTTGTTTGGTGAGATACATATCCAGTCTATTTCTGAGATTACAGGAGGCTTTATATTCCTGCTATTTATAATGTAACAACGGTATAAAATCGATTTTGATTTCAAATATAAGAGTTTTGTACGAATAAAGATTTCTTATAAATCTACGTTGTTAAAACAATTTTTTATACCTCCTTCTACAAGTGAATGAAACTGTACAAGAAAATCTATCTATGATTGCTCTATACATAGGAAATGACCAATACGATTTTCCAACATTAATTATCAATATAAAATAAAATATCTCATAAGATTCATAATACTCTTTCTAATGCTATATTGAATAATCAAGTTGACTAATCATTATATGAAAAAACAGTTCATTGTCTCTTAGTCCTCACTCAAAAGAAAGCTACCATAAAAAAATTTCAACTTGAAATAAGAGCGCAGCTGGCTGCAAAAAAAACCAGCGTTTGGATAACTTTAGAAGGATGAAAAACAGCATTCTGCGACTAAATCGTGAATAAAAACTAAATAGATAAACAGATTGACCTGAAATTTTTTACTAGAATACTAGAGACTATCGACTGTAATCTGCCAAAAACCAAATTATTCTGACTTATCTAGTTTTTAAGATACACATAAAACAAAATAAAAAAATATCTACTGGTAGGATAATTTTGACAGTCACTGTATATATATATTCACCTATCTCAATTTGTAATCTTTTTATTTGTTTATAAGTTACTCTTATCCCTTGTTTTCATTTGCTCTGCTTATATTAAATTGAAAATGAGCAAGTGTTGAATATTTTTAAATTAGTACGAGCGTCACGAAAAGAATATATCAAAGGTAAAATCTATTTACTGAACAAGCCAATATCATATGAATAAAGGTGTACAATTTGCAATGGAAATACTTTTAAATAATAGTTTTTTTCTTTTCTTCAATATAGTCTATGAGAAAATTTATTATTACACATTGCTTTAATTCTTTTAATTTAACTTATTTCTCAAAAGTTGAACTATATACCTAGCTTCACCCAATTTCAAAAATGATTTAATTGAACTTTGTTCTGTTGAAATATATTCTGTTTTACGAAGCCATGGTACACTCCGTTGATTTAATAATGATCTAAATATAATTAAAATCTAATACATGAATTAAAAATAATTTTTATTTTTTCCTTTATACCGTTTAAGATTAGCTGGACTAGCAGTTTCTTCTTCTAATAATTTTTCATCCTCTTCTGTAATCTTTCCTAAAAAATTTACGAAAACAAATTCGGTTATTTTTTTAATTCAAAAAAACAAAAAAAGTTAAATTTATACTTGTCGTAACATATGCATCTGGATTAATAAGATCGATTTCAACACCAACATCATGTTCTGTAAGTAAATCCCAACGATAATTTTTTTCTAAAGAAGTTGGTTTATAACGAACAAATCTAATGGAAACGAAAAATATTTTATGATATTTTAAAATTACAGAAAATAATAAACCTGTCTTGACTAAAAGGATATCGAAGAAATTTTGGATCAAATGGAAGATCAGGTAGAACATTTGTGTAACGAACACGACAGACAAGATCAGATCTGTAAAATAAATTAATTAATTAAAAATAAAGAATATGAGAATATACTTACCGACGATCGTGTTTTTTGGCATCACGTTCAAGACGATTTGTTGATATCGAACTACCACCTGATGTTGAATTTGAGTTTGTTGGTGCTGGTAGAGTAATCGGTGGAGCCATAATTTAAAATAAAAGATCAACTGCAACGAGTCAAATAATAATGAATATTATTAAAAATGACGAAATACTACTAATTGGTCTAGAAATTGACCGATTGCATGATTACCCTAAACTTCAACAAAAATAACAAGAATTTTCAAACAAATTTCAAACATTTTATGTAATGATATAATAAAAAGGATTTAAAAAAAAACTTTAAAAAAAATCTTTCATAGATGTCGCCTCATGTATTTATAAGACGACTTAAAAAAAAATAGTTTTTATTACAAAAGATATTTTTATATTCATAATCAGCTAATTATTCGATTTCTTATTACAATAATAAGCAGATATTGAAGACAAAAAGAAAAAAAAGAACAATATACCACTAAAGAGTTGTGTTCATATCAGTATGAGTTTTTTGCTCAACTTTAATGTTCACATCGTTCATTATATTAGTTTCTTTGCTTTCTGAAATACTTGTGCTATTATTAGTTGCATATAAGGTTTTTTGAAAAAGTAAAGCTTCTCGAGCAATATTCTGTACATATTGAGTTTTAAAATGAAATGGAAAAAATTGTAAAATAATAATTGTATCACATAATAAAGTTGCAAGAAGTTCTGATAATTGTGAAATTTCTTCATATAATAGTACATGATTATTAAAATGGAACCACTCAGTTGCAACAGATATTGTTGTTGTTGTTGCAAATAAATATATTGCCGATTTAATCCATACGCCTTGAAATCTTGAATATGAATCAGAAAAAAAATCAAATAAAAGAAAATATGCTATCATATGACGTGTTAATGACGTATATTTAACATTCATAAAAACAGGTATAAATATTGTTAATATAACTTCTAAACGTGACATAAAATGAAATAAATGTTTGTTTTCAACAGCAATATGAGATTCATATTCATTTATAACACGACAATAAATTAAACCAATTGTAAGTAATAAATCAAGTATTAAAAAACAACTATAGAATATTATTTGAAACATTTCTTTTTTTTGTATAAAATGGAGTAAATAGCCAAATGTTGCTGATTCTTTTATGATACATATAAATACATAATAAATAGCTAGAACTTTTCGTGAACGTATTGGTGCACAATATTGTAAATAAGAAAAAATAATCATTATTGTTGATAAAAGTCCAATATAACTAGGTTCATCTGAAGGATATAGATAATTATACCAAGCATCAAATAAATAGGAACCTGAAGAACACAATGGAAGAATAATCATTGCATATAAAAAGAATCGATCTTGTCCATCTTCAGGTTCATGTAAATCGAAGAAGCCCATTTTTTATTTTAATCGTACCAACTGAGTTGAATACTTGTCGTCTTCTCTATTATGATTCTTTATCAATAACTAAATAATAAATTGGAGATTAAATAAATAGCTATTTGAATGAGGTACAGAAGAGAAAACAAGCCTCTAAAGCACTTTTCTTTTAATCAAAAAATAGCACTCATGTTTGCCTTAGATTCTGCTTTGCTTAAAAAGCATCATATTACTATTTTCATTTTCTTTTCAGCATATATGTATATATATATCTATAAAAAAATAAAGGATATCGTCGGTTAAGATCATAAATCTCTAAATAGGTTAAAAAGTTAGAACATGAAATTCTACACATTTCTATGTATTTATTTATATATTTTTGCTGAATGCAAAAAAATATTTCGAGAACTAAATCGTACTAAGGGCCTACTATTTTTGAGTGTTATTAGAGGGTCTGATGTTCGACCTTTTCATTATTTATTTCAAATGAAAAATGTCCTCACACACCCACATATATATATACATATGTCTATCTGAACTCTCCACACACACATATATAGATATATCAGTGAATGAGATCAAGGGTTAAACTTAACGACAAAACAATAAAGAGTGATCAAGGTTATATAACATCCAAGAAAGATCTAACTAGAAGAAAGGGAAAAGAAAACAAGAAATGGAAGAAATATATATGTATATATTCACTGTCCAGGATTTAAAACATAAAGATAAAATAGAATAAGGAAAATGATCTGAGATATATCATATCAAAGAAATAGATAACAAGAAGAAAAGAGAAAAGATAAAAAAAGAATATAGTACCAGGCTTATCCTCTAACAAATGTTTTGGATAATAACTATGAAAACCATAATGTTTTCTTTTGTGAAGTTAATATGAAAATTAATAATGAAGATCCACATGGCTTTTCATCTTCTAAAAAGTAATACATTGATTGTGTTTATCTATTAGTTTTGTGGAGAATTGGAGAAGTTCTATAGGTATGATTCTCATATCATATACACGCATTTTAATACCATTGTATTTCAATATCAAATTAGTAGTGAAGATCTTTATGATCAAAAACTATGCTGTCTCATGCTCTACAAAAATGTATATAGTTTTAAGGAAAATCTATTCTGTGCTAATGGTCATTTTTATTGAAACATTGTAAGAAAATTGACCATTTTAAAACTACTAAAATAGTTGATATCGACCATTTTCTTACTAAATTTTGATCTAATTTCAAATTCGAAATAAAATGAAAATCATATTCGGAATCAACATAAAAAAGTATGCAATACTATATACATTTCAGCAAGTATAATTTTCTACGACAAATGCATCTCGAGGGAAGGAGAACACAGGCAAAGCTTGAGAAAAAAACCTACTGAGGAAGATCCCAACGATTTTTCGATAAAAAATTATTTTCGTTGAAATGTATATAATATTGCATATTTTTTTATGTTGATTCCGAATATGATTTTCATTTTATTTCGAATTTGAAATTAGATCAAAACTCAATAGAAAAATGGTCGATATCAACTATTTTAGTAGTTTTAAAATAGTCAATTTTCTTACAATGTTTCAATAAAAATGACTATTAGCACAGAATAGATTTTTCTTAAAACTATATACATTTTTGTAGAGCATGAGACAGCATAGTTTTTGATCAGAAAAATCTTCACTACTAATTTGATATTGAAATACAATGGTATTAAAATTCGTGTATATGATATGAGAATCATACCTATTGAACCTCTCCAATCCTCCACAAAACTAATCATAAACACAATCAATGTGTTACTTTTGTAGATCATGGAAAATCACATCGATCTTCATTATTAATTTTCATATTAACTTTACAAAAGAAAACATTATGGTTTCCATAGTTATTATCCAAAACATCGAAAAATAGTAGGCTCCTAGGACTATCTAGTTCTCGAAATATTTTTTTTTTGCATTCAGCAAAAATAAATACATAGAAATGTGCAAAATTTCATGTTCTATCTTTCTAACCTACTGAGAGATATACGACATTATCTAGCGGTATCCTTTAAACATTAAAAAGATCATTAGTTTATATATTTGATTGCTATTTTGTTAGATTTTCATTTTTTGACACTATATGTAAGTTTGTTGAGCAATTTTATTTATATGTTTCGTATTTAAATGAATACATACAGTAAAATAACTCCATTCGATACTAACTGATAGAGTTGATGTACTCACAAATAAAACACAAAGTTCATTTAATTTCATTACTATGAAAACTTTCATAAGAAACAGAAAAATACACGAAGAGAAGAAAAATGAAAATGTGAATAAAGATTGTCCATATTAGTCATCGAATGGAATAGTGAATCAATCAACTGGCATATCAAATGTTTGAAACTCTCAATAATATTATAAAAGAATAGAAGATATGATATTAAAGATCAGAAAAAAAAGATACTCTCAGGATGTGAAGACACTATTAACTTTCACAATAAGTTGCAGTGAACTTTAGAAAAATCATCAGGATAGTATTCATATCACGGAATGGAAAATCGTCAAATATATAACTTAAATCTATGGCTTTGCTTTTCAAAGAAGAAAATATCTATAATAGATGATAATCTTTTACGAATTTCTCTGCTCAATAATTATTATTGAAAGGTGATTAGACGTCGACAAGATAATCCCGAACCCTGCTACACTAGGAGCAAATATTTTCTTTTTGGCCGAGATTCAGACGACGACCAACACTTTTTCATTGGGTACAATACCTTTTTCTTTTGGTCGTGTAAAACTTGCTTCGAATGTCATATTGTCACGACTCATGTTTTCTAAATAGATATGTGCGAGATGGTCTCAGTACCGGCGGAATTAGGACCGGAATAGGGATCGGTCCCGTTCATGTCTAAAGATTATATATCGTGTCATACTTTTACCTATATTCTCATAGATGTTAATATGCCAATGGACATATCATTTTATATGATATCTTTTCTTACTCTATATGTTGTTATACCATCGATATGACGTAGTTTGCATAATGACGTTTACTCTTACGTCTCTCTATACATGATTGAGTCTCATTCTCTTTATATCGTGATCTATTTCTCATGTTGTATCATCATTCACTCGTATATTATATATATTATTACTTTGCTGTCCTATCCTATGTTCTTCCTTATCTGTTCCCTCCCTAGACTCATCTCCTTTCTTTTCATTCTCTCTTATTCTACTCGCGTATATAAACGTGTGTTTTGTATATAAACGATACAATTATATGATATGAAGGAGTAAAATAAAGTGTAACTCCATCAACACTAACATCCCTTCTATTAGAAATCGTCACAATCAAGATGATTGAACATACTCAAAGCAATTTTTTTTTTCGTCTTCTACGTCATTTTACTATTTTATAATATGAAATCGTACTGAAATATTTGACAAATAAATAAATAACATTCTTTATGAATAATACAGAATGCAATTGTGTCTCTAGTTATTGCTGTGTTTTCTCTATTGATGAAAATGAGTACAAATATAGATAAAATAACTTCGAGTCTTGATATAAAATGAAATATTTATTATCAACAATAAATTATAGTGCTTATCTAAGTATAACTCAACAACAAATAAGTGATAGAGTTGTTATTGTATCAATCAATGGTCATTCAGTAACAATGATTAAATGAAATGTATCATAAATCTTTAAAAAATATACTAAATAACTAATGTTACCAATTCAATTTAGTAATAATAAAGACAAATAGTTAGAGTATATCAAAATGGAATGAATACACAGAATGACAAATGAAAATAGTTGGAATATAACTTAGAAGACTTTCATATTCATATTCATTTCGATGATGCATCAAATAAAGACAAGCATAAAAAATATATGCAAATATTATGAAAAAATAGTAGAATAATTATTATTCGAAGAAAAAACTTATCTTGCCTAGATAGAATTGAGTGAAGATGAATAGACATAGTTTAACAATAGATTTCTCTTAATCGAATAATATTCTACAATTTTTATCTATATATTATTATTATTATTAAATAACACTCCTTTGTCAAGTAGATTAGTAATGATTGTGAAATAACCGTTAGTCATCGAGAATGTGAATATCAAATTCCTATGTGCCTGTGTTTGCACAAGTCTATACAGAAAGAAACTCGGTTTATCTCCAAACTATTAGAGAATATGTTAATAGGAAGTAATATGTTAATAGATTTACATAGGTTCTTGCTTCTATAGTCTTCTAATTTTAAATAAAAATTTGTATGATCTCAATTAAATTTTTTCTAACTTGGATAAATCTTCTCGAATTCATTATTCTCTTAGATCACATTTTGTCTTAATCATTCGCGGGCAGATTTTGAAAAGACATATTTCTTTTCTAAAGCAATATTTAGTTTATCATATAATACTTATTATATCAAGAAAATCTGATCCCATCAAAAGGTATTCTATCTCGTTACTACATCTATAGTTTTAAAAAGGTGCACTTTTTCTATTGAAACTCTATCCAAACAATGTCAATTTTAAGAACAAAAAATTACTTTCCCTATCAATGAAATAAAAAGACGTGATATAATTTTGAATTATAAATTTCTTCTTCTTGAATATTCAGAAAAAAAAACAATTTATTTAGCTAAGTAATCAATTAGAAAAAAGAACAATAATATAAAATTGTACATGAATATTTTTAAATGTCTTATAATTTTTATTTATTCAGTACTAATTGAACACATATGATACTTTTTGACTATGATTTTTAAACAAACAAATTATGGACAAATATTCATATTTCTTTTACACTTGCATCTGCTATAATAAAATTTCAAACAAGCACATGAGTTACTATACTTCTTTTAATATACATTCACAAAGAAATCGACCAAGAAGTCGTTTCAACTTATCAATAACTTTTTAAATGAAAGTTATGTTCTAGAACATCGGATTTCTGAACTGACATACTTTTCGCCAAAATTTATTTATGATCTGTCCAGATTATAGAATATATCGAAAAGACTAGAAGACAGTGACTTTTTTCTGTTTCAAATCGTTTGTTTTTTTGAAAAAAATGCACTCATTTTAATTCATACAAAAAAATAGATCAACATTTCAATGTGAAAATCATCAAGATGATTTTATTTAACTGAATTCTCACTTTAAAAAAAATCAAAAAAAGATTATTGTCTTATAGACGGATTGATATGTTTCTTAGTCTGAACAGATTTTAAACAATTTTGGCAAAATGTTTGTTAGTTTAGAAAATTGATATATTAAATGACGACCTATGAAAAAAACTCATGCTCATATTCAGAATTAGCATGAATGATAGCCGACTATTCAGTAGATTATGTTGAGAAAGCAATCGTTTTCTTAAAAACTGTTCCTCCTATGAGATATATTTAACTTAGTTCATCCGATTCTGAGTTTGCTAGTAGTCAAATTGTTCTTCTCAAGTTTGCTGCAAGTATCCAAAGAAAGAAATATGTACGTATTAATGTATAAAAATATTCTGTAAAATTACAAATCTGTTCGAATCGTTTCTTGAATCAATCAATTCTTCATAAATAATTTTTAATAATGATCAAAATTTTGTGCTCTTTTTAAATATGAGATCAGAAATATTGCGTCCATATTTGTTCGACACTAGTGAAAAAATTTTTAAAAATCCAAAATATTAAATTAAATGATGAACCAATAGGCTTTTCTTAAACCCTATAAGTTTCTTTTCAATGATGATAAAGAAATATTCGAGTTGGTTGTTTTATCAAGCGAATAGTTCTTTGTAAAATGTTATATTGAACTAAACTGTGACTTTTATCTAAGTGAAACTATAAGCATTTTGCCAAATGCTTCTTTCTATACAAAACATCTTTTGATCAACAAGTCAATTTTTCAATAATAAGAGTTTACGAGAAACGAAAACTAAAGCAATCTATAGAAAAAAACAAAAGAAAACTTCAATAGTACATTTTGTAGGGTAGTTTCTGATCTACAAGCTGATATATTAATAAAAGTTTCAATATTTACTTTCGAGTTGCAATTGTGAAAGTACAAAAGAGTCCAAAAAAATTTTCGTTCAGACTATTTTTTAACCCTTTCAAAAGATCATCTCATTGGTCTCAAGAAAATTTCTAAGTTCACATTCGAAAAGAGCAGTAAATTCTAGTCATAACTCATAACTTTTGACGCACCGGAAACACTTTTAAGATGATCAAGAAAAACTTCTAGTCAAAGTATAAAATAAAATAAATGTTCAATTTTAACATGAAAACTAATGAGTGGTCCAAAAATTTTGACCTGTCTCTGAAAATTGACATTATCTATATAAATACACTGTTTTATAGAGAACAGTTAAAGTTATCATCTAAAAAGAAAATAGTTCGAATTGCATCGACATTATGAAAAGTTATGATTATTTAATTGAGCATGAGTAAATATTTTTTGCGTCTCACATTTTTCTCGAAAAACAAAGTATACTTGTAAAGTTTGAAGCAAAATACTGTTTCCTAGATATTCTTATATGGTTTGATAGAGTTCGACAAACTCTACGAGAATATGAATATACAAAAAAAATTCTGATCTTCTTTCCAATTCAAAACTTGAAGAAAATCAGAAAGACCAAAAAAATTCATGTATCCAGCATTAGAGAGAGTAAGTTGAATTTCCAATAACTTTAACTGATCGATTGTTCCGTCTGTTCGTACATCTTGAAAGGAGTATTTTTAGCTTCCGTGTGTGACACTACATCTCAAAACATCAATTAACAGTCGACCAACTAATGTTCTTGAAAGTTAAGCATACTATCGCATGTAAGACATGTGATGTTTTTATTAGTTTGCCTGATTTTCTCCAAGTTTTGTATTGGAAATAGAAGGAGATTTTCTTTTTTATTTTCATATTCTTACAGACCTTGTCAAACTCTATCAAACCATATGAGAATATCTAGAAGTTAATATTTCGCTTGACATCAATCACTGAGAAATTAAAAGAAGATTTTTCTTTTTGAAGAAAAATGTAAGATGTAAAATCCTTAATCTTGATAAACCCATTCGCGGCAACATGGCTATTGCTTCTTCATAATTCGTGAAAGGTTTCATTGCTTCATTTGTAGCAATTGAAGTACTTTAAAACAACTTTTATTAACGTTTCTCTTATCAACATAAGCTATGAATATTCCTTTATCAGCGGTAAAAGAATCAGTCCCTTTGATCCTAGTATGGCAGCGATATTCAATTTTTTATGTGATAAATGAACTTTTGGATCACCCTGTAGTGGGATCCACAAATGCCCAGGTCGAAAAGTACGGGCCAGTTCCCGCAAGAAAGCACCAGAAATCAATGGAACTTAGACGCAGTATTCCAGCCAGAAATTTTTCGAACGTTTTTCCGGTGGATTCTAGCCAATTCATATTCTTTTCGATAGGAATACTGCCTCCATGTTTCGTTTATTTCCGATGTTTTCCTGCGGGAACCGGTGATTTCTCCCCGTCTTTCTTGCCGATTCTTGCAGTGTCCGGTGATCGGAAGAATCGACCTGGGTGGATCCCACCGCCTCGAAAGGGTTAACAATGGAACCATAGCTTTTCATAGTCTTGATGAAATTCGAACCATTTTCTTTTCAGATGATAGCTTTAGTCTTTCTCTACAATATTCTGTACTTCATTTAACTATCTGCATATATAACCATATAGATAATGTCTATTTATAGACAGCGATCAAAACTTTTGGATCATCCTTTCGAATAAGAACAATTAAGAATATGATAATAAATTCAACAAGTCAAATAATTACTAGTACATATTTCATTCAAAATACATCTGATGATCTAGTCATCAATTGCAAGTATTGTAGATAACTCAATCAGGGTACAACAATATATAACAATTAGCAGAATCATTCAAAATAAATCCTTGATAATGATAAATGGTCGAATAATTTAACATATAATTCTATGAATCTTTAGCTATAATATATAGAATAATGCTATTCCATACCCAAAAGAAAACGTTAACTTAATTATTATTAGACATTTTTACCGCTAATCAAAAATGAAGAGATATTTGATCAACTAATCAATTGATTTTATTGACAAATAGATTTCTACTTTATATTCATGCTTAGTTTCATTTCATTGAATAGCACAATCCTCGTATTATATTCAAGTATTATTTTTCTTTATAATGAAAAAAAAATATGTCAGTATAAAATAACGTTAATTACAATATTTCACACACACGCATGAAAATAAAAATATGATTAAATTAAAGTCGTATAGACTGTATCACAAGTGATCATTTTCTTAGCCACAAAACTAATATCACAGCCAATGGTATACAAATAGCTAAAAATCCAATGAAAAAGCCAAGTATACCAAGTTTACAACGAGATGAACATTTATTAGTTAAACAAGCACACGTTTCATCCGAACTAAAAGAAAATGAATATTTTTTCTATAAACGTTTTCTTTCTTTTCAAACCTTGATATCATTCGTGCATTGGACGAATTATTACTGTTTACTGTTGAATCCGTTACTCTTGTAAATGAATTATTATTGTGTACTGTAGAATCCACCCCTTTTATAAATGAATTACTACTCTTAGTTGGCCATGAATAAGGTGATTTCATAAATGTAGGACTTGTTAACCTTGGATCAACTGATGTTTTCTCATATTGACTTCCATTCAATGGTAGTGGTGACCAAGGACCTGAACTTGATCGCAGCGCAAGACTATCAAAACGAGGCAATACGGATGCACTAGCTGGTGTTGGAGCTGTTGTCATTGGTGGAAGTCGTAATGCTTCTTGTTGTTTATATTTATTAGGTGGTGCATTATGATCCTTTTGATTTATATAAAGAAACAGATAAAACAATATAAATCTTATTAAACTTACCATTATATCTTCAATTGTCTCCATCTTGCTTTTTTCTTTTTCAGACTACAAATGATTTCTACTTCTTTCTTTTTTATTTTATTCATTTCAATATTATTTTTTGTAGCTTCTTGTAAGAATTTTTTATGTTGTTTTTCTTTTGTACATGTAAATAGAATAATGAAGTATTGGTTTTTTTTTCTTCTGAAATGATGAAACGAAACAATAAGCATATCGCAGAGAAACCTTAATGTTTTGTTAATTAGCTTTTCTGTTTTGATGAAATAAAATATATAGACTAACCATATTATTCCTGCTCGCGCTTGATTATTGTTTATTTAGTTTTTTGTGGAACTCACGTATATTTTCGAAGAAAATAATGAGTGTAAGTTTTAAGTTCGAGATTTGGCGGCTCCCCCCCCCCCCC